GTTGCCTCTTTGAGTTGTTCTTCAGCATTATTAAAATTATTAACATATGTTTGATGATGTTTTTTATGATGTAATTCCATAATTTCACTGCTAATAACAGGTGATAATGCACCATAGTCATATGGCAAGTCTGGTAATGTGTGTGCCAGCCTGGTGGATAGACATGCCAACATGGGTGGGTTGGTAACCAATCTGTAAATTATATATGAACAAATAAGTACTAAGCGGTTTTGCTTACAAAGACATTTGTACAACTACAGTGTAAGCCCTATAGTTTTCCCATAAGGCATTGCTTTGAGCATGCTCAGTTTGGACTTGTAATATGGCGCCCGATTTGTAATAAATATTGTTCGTCCAGTCATCTGTCTAGTATTGACTCGTGTTTCAGCCATCCTAACACGACATGGTGTCAGAAGTGAACCTGAATATTTGAAGTAACACTACAGTACTCCATACGCTCGCTACCTCTAGTGGATCACGAAAAAAATGGCATCTTGCTCTCACGTTCCGTTTCCCGACAAGTTGGACCTCTCTGATGATAGAAGTCGCGCTGCTGACTGGGAACTTTTTGAACAGGTATGGACAAACTATGAAATATCTTCAGGTCTTCTCGAGAAAGACAAGAAACTACGTACTGCCACTCTACTCACATGTTTCTCTAAGTCGGCACTCCAAGCATTCAACTCGCTCAGTTTTGACAGTGAAGGTGACAAACAAGATATCGAAATCGTTATGGACAAAATGCGTGTATTGTGCGTCGGTCAGACAAATGAGACTTACGAACGTTATCTATTTAATATGCGTGTCCAGAAACCTGATGAGAATTTCGACCATTTCTATGCAGCAGTGTTGAAAATTGCCTCAAATTGCAATTTTGGAAATCTACATGATTCTCTGATTAGAGACCGTCTAATAGTTGGTGTTACTGATCAAGCTACTCGGAAAAAACTACTGTATGAACGGGAGCTAACTCTCAAGAAGACACTTGAAATTTGTCGCACGTATGAAATCACTACTGCTCGTTTACAATCTATGGATAAAGATATGTCACATGGTACAGATGCAGTTGTTGGTTCTGTTAATAAAAGTAATAACCCTGCTAAGAAAAAGTACCAGAAACGTAATTTCACTGCACAGTCTACTTTTCAGAGCACTCAGAACAGGGTCAAAGGTCACACATCCAGTGACAGTGCTTGCTCCTATTGTGGTAGAGGGACTCATGACCGTAAAAGGTGCCCAGCTCGAAATGCAGACTGTAGAAAGTGTGGAACACGTGGTCATTATGCTGCTGTGTGTAGATCATCGCAGACTAGCAAATCAAAAGTTACCAATGTACATGGTATAACACAAGATGACAAACCTGAAGCATTTCTAGGGTTTATTGGTCAAGGTGGACAGTCAGGGTATGTGAATCTCAGTGTAGACGGTACCACTCTCAGATTTCATGTTGACACAGGTGCAGACGTTAATGTTATTTCTAGCGATGTTTATGAAAAACATTTCAGAGACAAAATCCTCACACCCCTACAACGTGTACTTAGAGGGCCTGATAGGAAACTACTATCTACACTAGGGTCATTTCAAGCAAACATTGAAAGTCAAAATAATCATACACAGGCCGAAGTATGCGTCATCGCTGGCAATGGGTTATCACTACTGGGACGAGACACCAGTTGCAATCTCGAACTTGTATCCTTCAATGTGGGTAGTATCGAGGATTACCCCCAACTGTTTAAAGGTTTAGGTGAAATGCCCCATCCATATAAGCTCCAGTTAAAGGACAATGCGAAACCGTACTCAGTTCCAATACCTCGCCGTATTGCTATACCACTCTTGCCAAGAGTCAAGGATGAACTTGAGAGACTAGAATCGCTCAACGTCATACGTAAAGTCACCGAACCGACTGACTGGTGCGCTCCAATCGTCGTTGTTCCAAAGAAAGATGGAAGTGTTCGGATTTGTTGTGATTTCACTAAATTAAATGAATCAGTGAAACGCGAATGACATCAACTTCGTACCGTAGATCACGCTCTGGGTCAGATGGGCTGGTGCGAAAGTATTTCAAAGCTTGACGCTAATCGAGGTTTCCACCAGATTCGACTCGCAGATGAACACTCTCAATTAGCCACATGTTTCATTACACCATTTGGTCGTTACTGCTATCAGCGTCTACCCTTCGGTATTAACTCCGCTCCCGAACACTATCAACGACAAATTCACAGTATGTTAAGTGGTCTAGAAGGAGTAGCAGACCTGATGGATGACATCGTTGTCTTCGGCGCAAATGAAGCAGAACATGATGCGAGACTAGATAAAGTACTTAATCGTCTTGTTGAACATAGTGTGACACTAAATCGTAGCAAATGTGAATTCAGAATACCAGAAATCATTTTTGCTGGTCACGTGATTGGAGAAGATGCTATCAAGGCTGATCCTTCGAAAGTGGAAGCGATCTCTCGTATGCCTAAACCCGAAAATATATCCGATTTTCGTAGGTTCATGGGGATGGTTAATCATCTTGGTAAATTTCTCCCAGATTTGGCAACTCACTCCGAGCCACTCAGACAGTTACTATCAACCAAACAACCATGGTATTGGGGAGATGTTCAAGATAAAGCGTTCGAAACAATCAGGAATTTGATTTGTACAACTCCAACACTGATGATGTTTGATCCATCTCGCGAAACCCGTGTATCAGCGGATAGCTCTTCATATGGGCTTGGTGCAGTTTTGAGACAACTGGATAATGATAATATTTGGAAGCCAGTTGCGTACGCATCAAGATCTTTACTTCCAGCCGAAACTCGCTATGCGCAAATTGAGAAAGAATCTCTAGCTGCAACCTGGGGATGTAATCGTTTCGAACAGTATCTGATAGGACTAAAGTTCACCCTAGAGACAGATCATAAACCCTTGATCGCACTATTGGGATCTAAGGCACTTGATGAACTGCCACCGCGCATCCAACGAATGCGAATGCGTCTCATGCGATTTGACTATCAAATTAACTACGTCCCTGGTAAGGAACTGTATATCGCAGACACTCTATCACGAGCTCCGATGTCTAACGTGTCTTTGATTACAAGCGATCCATTTGATGATGATGAAATGGATGCTTACGTAAATCTAGTAGTGGAGGGATTCCCTGCAACAGATGTACGATTGAAACAAATTCTCGATCACCAACGTGAAGACGAACTCACTCAACAATTATGTGTGTATATCAACAAGGGCTGGCCAGACAGAAGTCAGCTGAAAGATGGACTTTTGAAACAATATTGGCAATATAACGCTGATCTCACTATAGTAAATGGTCTCCTACTATACCGCTCACGCATATTCATTCCTTCGTCATTGCGTATAGACATGTTAGATCGTATACACGAAGGTCACCAAGGAATCGTGAAATGTCGACAGCGTGTCTCACAGTCTATTTGGTGGCCAGGGATATCTCGTCAAATTGAAGACCTCGTGAGGGGATGTCGTATTTGCAGTAAGATCTCCAGAAACCCGATAGAACCGCTGAAACCTTCTATATTACCGGTTCGCCCATGGCAAAAAGTAGCAACAGACCTTTTCTACTACAAGAAAAATTGGTATCTACTAGTTGTTGACTATTTCTCTCGATTTATAGAAATGGCAAAACTCTCTGATTTGACAAGTGACACAATAATCAATCACATTGAAATCAATCTTTGCAAGACATGGTGTCCCTGAGACCGTCGTTAGTGACATGGCACACAATACATGTCTACATAATTTAGTACCTTTGCACAGGACTATGGGTTCATTCATATACCATGAGCCCCGGACATCCTCAGACAACGGTGAAGTGGAAAGAGCTGTAGCAACTCTCAAAAAAATGCTAATACCAGCGAAAGATCCATATGCCGCTCACTTGTGATACCGAAGTACTCCTCTCGCTTGCGGATTCAGTCCAGCAGAATTACTTATGAATCGCAAACTCAGAACCAAACTCCCAGTCGTGCCAGAAAATCTAGAGCCGGTTGTTCCTGATCGCAATTTGCTAAGATCTAAGGAAGAACATATTCGTCTTCGTACAAAGACAAACTTTGACAGTCGTCATCGAGTCAAAGAACTTTCACTACTACCACTGGGAGGTGAAGTATGGATTCCAGATCGAAAGGAAAGTGGAATAATAGAATCACAAGTACATGACAGATCATACTTGGTGAAAACTTCTACTGGTAGTTTTCGCAGAAATCGTGTTCAACTGAATAAACTTCCAGCTGACAGTGTGAAGACTCCACGAGACTCTGCAACAGACAATACTGAACTTAGAAACCCTAAAATACACTCTCCAGTAAAATCACATAGTGTAACAGAGCCCATTAAATTTGATACTAGTGTTATGAAACACCCCTATATAACCCGTTCGGGCAGAGTATGCAAACCCAATTCTAAGTATACTGACACTTAACATGCATGTATTCATATTGCAGAAACTATAGTTGGATTGTTATTCCCTATATGTTATTTTGGCATGAGCCAATGTGTTAAACAGTTATCTAGTTCGAAATATTTCCTGTGTTACAGTTCCATATTCGATGTAATTTTATATTTTCTAGTTTGGCAGAATCGTTTATGCTTGTTTTAGGACACTTGAAAGCCATATACATATGCAAACAGTGGACTAAACATAAAGAAAGGGAGATGTGGTGTAAGCCCTATAGTTTTCCCATAAGGCATTGCTTTGAGCATGCTCGGTTGGGTTACTTGTAATATGGCGCCCGATTTGTAATAAATATTGTTCGTCCAGTTATCTGTCTAGTATTGACTCGGGTTTCAGCCATCCTAACACGACAAGGAGGTTGGGTGAAATTAGTGCTATACATCAAGGCCTTTGTAAAAATACGATCGGCCAAGATCTATCATTCTGAAGCACGCCAGAGACAGACAAAATGCAGTTTTAAATATTGACACCGTTCGTATTTTTTAAATGAGTTAAACAATAAATAAATTGTATGCTGCTTAAGATGTGATCGATCGAAACAGACTCGTTTTGCAAGTTTTAACGGCTACGTTCTGTTGAAGATATGAAACTTCACTTTTGGAATTATTACCGAAGATAATGTGCGACAGCAAAAAACAACAACAACATTTGGTTATGTGAAATAGAGTAGCATTCATGACCAATCAGTAGTGTTGTATCGTCTTCTTCGTCAACTGAACGTTA